TTGATGTATCATCCTGGGAAGGCCAATGTTGTGGCGGATGCACTGAGTAGGAAATCCATCCACATGTCTAGTATGATGGTGAGGGAGCTGGAGCTGGTTGAGGAGTTCAGAGATCTGAATCTCCATGTGGAGTTAGCTCAGGATCACATTAGTTGTGGGATGATTACCATAACTAGTGAGTTCTTGAGACAGGTTGGACTCAAGCAGTTGCAAGATGTTGAGCTGGTGAAGCTTCTTGGTTTGTTGGGTACCAAGAAGGCTGTTGGCTTTGAGCTGGGTGAAGATGGAATCTTAAGGTTCAAAGGCAGAATTTGCCTACCTCAAGATGCTGAGCTGAGGAGAGCTGTGTTGGAGAAAGGCCACAAAAGCAGACTTAGCATACATCCTGGTATGACTAAGATGTACCAAGACCTCAAGAAGACTTTCTGGTGGTCTGGTATGAAGAGGGCGATAGCTGAATATGTGGTGGCATGTCTGACTTGTCAGAAGGCGAAGGTTGAGCATCAGAAGCCGAGTGGGTTGATGCAGCAGATTGAGATTCCAGAGTGGAAGTGGGATAGCATTACTATGGATTTCATTGTGGGGTTACCTAGGTCAGCTACGAATAGTGATGTTATCTGGGTGATTGTTGATCGGTTGACCAAGTGTGCCCATTTCTTGCCTGTCAACGTCAAGTGGTCCTTGGAGAAGCTGACACAGTTGTATGTGAGGGAGATAGTATGGTTGCACGGGGTGCCTTCCAGTATTATTTCCGACAGAGATTCGAGGTTCACTTCCAGATTTTGGCAGAGTCTACATCAAGCCCTAGGCACGAAGCTGAAGCTGAGTTCTGCTTATCATCCGCAGACAGATGGTTAGTCAGAGAGGACAATCCAGTCCTTGGAGGATCTGCTGAGAGCTTGTGTGTTAGACCACTTGGGTAGTTGGGAGGAGGTCCTACCGCTGGTGGAGTTTACTTACAATAATAGCTTTCATGCTAGTATTGGGATGGTGCCGTTTGAAGCCTTGTATGGCAGGAGATGTAGGACTCCTCAGTGCTGGTATCAAGATGGTGAGTCAGTGGTTGTGGGACCGGAGTTGATCTTACAGACTACTAAGAAGGTGAAGCTGATTCAGGAAAGAATGAAGACTACTTAGAGTAGGCAGAAATCTTATGCTGACAAGAGGCACAAGCCTTTGGAGTTTGCTGAGGGAGAACATGTGTTTCTGAAGGTGACTCCGACCTCTGGTGTGGGTAGAGCGCTGAAGGCAAGGAAGTTTACACTGAGGTTTGTTGGTCCCTATCAGATAATATAGCGTGTGGGTCCAGTTGCTTATCGGTTAGCTTTGCCACCGTCTCTTTCAAACCTACACGATGTATTTCATGTATCCCAGCTGAGGAAGTATGTTCATGACCCTGGTCATGTTGTGGAGCTGGATGATGTACAAGTGAGAGAGAATCTGACGTTTGAGAAGTTGCCAGTAGCCGTGGTTGATCATAAGCTGAAGGAGTTGAGGGGCAAGTCCATTACTTTGGTAAAAGTGTTGTGGGATGCAGCTACTGGTGAGGCTACTTGGGAAGTGGAGCAACAGTGCAAGGAGAGGTACCCATTTCTTTTCCCAAGTAAGTCTATTTTCGGGGACGAAAATTTCTGTTGATGGGGAGATTGTGAGACCCGCTGTTCCTTTCCTTTTTCACTCTCTTCTCATTCACTCCATCTCACTTTCTTCTTCATTCTCTTTGCCTCCTTCATTGATTTCCCTTTTATTCCTTGCTGTCTCAAGGTACTTTATAAGATCCCATAGTCCTGTAGGAAACCCTTAATTTATGTATAATAAAATGAAAATTGATGAAATTTAGAGATTTTTATGAAATTGATGTATGTGTTTGATTAATTGATGGATAATTGTATAATGACAATTCCTTTAGTTTCATACATAATTAAAAGAAAAATATTACTTGATTGCACTAAATTCAAAACAAGAAATCTACATTAAAATGTTAAAAGCACGTAAGCAACATCTTTAACCACTATTTATTTTACAAGTAGCATTAACTTAACATAAAATAACAAAGATATTTGCTTTAGAGATAAAGACCACTAGTAACTTATAAGTTATCCAATAAATCCATTTAAGTTTGGATATTTCCTTACCTCCTATCCTAGTAATGTAATTCAGAGCTTAAATTATTAATACCCAAATTTAATCAACTAGAAACACCCTTGAGAAACATAACTTAAAAAAATGGGAAAATAATATATACCTTAAAATTTGTCCTTCCACATCCACGTATTAACAGGGTATCTCCAGTGAATGCCATTCTCGATTGACATTAAATTTAAATTTTTTTGGTAATTGATTTATTGTAATTTCTAAGAATATTTTTAATCATATAGTGAACACATAAGCTTTAATGATTCTAATTTTGTTAATTTATTTTGCTTCACCATCAAAAAGCTTTAATGATCTAGTGAACACATAAGAGTGGAATGTTATCCGCATCAACTGGCTCAGGAGTAATGATCCCCGAGTCTGCTCCTATCGGCCAATGAAGGCATGGAACGACTAAGTTATTTAAACAACCGACCGATGGGATGCGCAAACATAATCAAATGTAAAGGAGCATAACTGAAGATAGAAAGAAAAGTGGAATGAGTGTGTGTCAATAAAATACTTCATAAAATGGCACTAATGGCCAAGGGTACAATAGTACGACGGCTCCAATGGCCCAACAAATCAAAAGTGGCCGATACTCGAACCACAAACAAAAGAAAAAACAAAAGATCACCCTAGGTCTATACATCATCATCAAAACAGATGTACACCCAAAAAACAAAGACCCTGCCGAGTACCCTACTCCCTATTGATCGTATTGTCATCCCTGCCGTTGGTATCTTCATCTTCATTAACGGTCATGTCGGGATCCTCCACGGCAGCAAATCGAGGAGGGGCTATCTCGTCCAGCTCGGCATCCTCGGGCATATCAGCGAAGTCCATAAAAACACTGCGATAAAAATCCTTGCTCAATTCAAAAGAAAAGTTTAAAGGAATATCGCAAAAATGAGCCACTTGCCGAACAACATGCATAAAGCCGACCTCGTGCTCCTTAATTATCTTATTCTCACAATCAACTCGGAAACTAGCCAATGAGGCTTCGACATCAGCTTTGGCCTTCTCCTCCCGAGCCAAGACCTCTTGCACTTCTCGGACCCTCATGCGCTCAGCATCCTCGACCGCAACCGCTCGTCCTTCCATTTCTCCAAGAGCCTCCTTCAGTTTAGCCACCTCGACCTCCAACGCTAACTTCACATTTGAGGTCGCTTCGTGCGCCTCCATAGATTTTTGGAAAGCCACTTTCATCTCCTTTAAATTTTTTCAGAGATTATGGACATCGGCCATAGGCTCTAAGGCCAGCTTGCGGAGAATCGTCGTGGCCCTAACTTGCAACTCGCAAGCCATTGCCCATTAGGCCGACGGGGCTGCGAAGTCAAGCATTCGATGACCCTGTACGAAGAGCAAGTCTGAAGACATCATTTGGGTCGGTCGAACTTCCTCGGACAGAAAATCTTTGGATACAATGGCCGAAGGGATAGCCAAATCTGTAGATGGAATTTCAGCCCGACGATGCTTGGCCCGATGGGTATCTGTGGCCCCATCATCGGCTTTCCTCTTCCCCTTGTCCTTTTTTGTTTTGGCATTTGGATCCGGGAGCACAACATCACGGGGAACAGGACATGGGTCGACTGTACCAGGCACCAGATCAATGGCCACGTTGCGGTGGTCCTCGGCCGAAGTCCCCGTTAGGGCTCGATTTCGCAAGGCTTGACGATAGGATAAGTTGAGACCTTGTTGAGCCATCCAACCTGTAAAAATCAAACAGTCACACATCAACTCAACAAGAACGTCGGTCGGGGAAAACAATACATACCATCCAAATCAAAACGAGGCCGAGGAGATTTGGGCAAAAGCACAAGTAGTCGGGCTGGGATCCCCCGAGGTAGGTCGTTCAAGTAGTTCAAGGCCGAAACCTCATCCTCGGTCAACATCTCCACCGGAAACTCATCGTATTTCCGAGGCATCTGGGTCCAATAAAAAGGAAACAAAAGTTTGCCCTCGACATCGTAAAAATAGTTTTGGCCGGCCACGGGATCTATCATAACTTTCACGAAACCCGCCTTAAAACCCTTAAAGGATGAGGAAAAGGGTTTCAATAGTGGCCGATCAACATGCCTAACTAGGGATAGCCACTTGACCGTCTTGCTAGAAGGACGGGTACAAAAAAAAATGTAAAATCAAACCTTCACTTGGCTCTATGTAATAGTATTTACAAAGTACCCGGAATGCTTGCACGACCGCCCACTCATTCGGATGCAATTGGGTCGGCGCGACGTTCAATACACGAGGTACCCTCATTTTGAAATCGTCCAATGGAAGAGACATCCCGAGCTCTCGGAAGAAACACTCGTACATATAAAAGAAGTCCCCCTGACCTTCCTGCTTCACAAGAAAGACCAGGTCAGCCTCCCCGGGGCCCGCGGCTCGGCACCGACACAACATAACCGGGTATGGATCCGAATCCTCCCATCAGGCCAACGTACCACACTTAGAAGGCGTTCCACAGCGGCCCTCTCATAAAAACGCGAGAAGTACACCGCCACCTCACCATCAACGCATTCGTACCCCGGGATCTCACATAGAGGGAATTTCTGCCTATAATCTCGGGGACCCATCTCGGCATCCAGAAGGTCCGAGTCGGATGAAGAACTTGCAGATTCCCTGCGCTGGATGAAGACCCAAAGGATAACACTACCCCTTTGACAGCCATTACCTCAAGGAACCCGACCGAACTCTCAAACAAACCTACCTTGACAAGTAATCGGATTACAACAACAATGAGGGCTTTGGGGTGGAGTGTTACTATAACAAAGGCACGAGAGGGACTATGACCCTACCTCCATATATATATAGGCAAAAAAGGACACCCCAAGAGTCCCTCATAAATGGTTTTGGGATACGAAAAGACGTCACACCTAGGCACGAAACCCAAGGGCAGCGTAGCATGCAATGGTCATAATTGGTCAGACAAGAGACGCAACTCCCGAGGACAGTACCAAGACTGGACCCCCAACGCACCCCCTCATGCAAGTCATGTCTTATCGGATACTCTGAATCCCTTTGTCTTTCATCCTAGGGCTTGGGGGCAGTGTACTGGGAGTAGGCCGAATACCCCCTTAGGCCGAGTACCCATCAGGCCAATGAATAGGCCGAGTACCCCCCTTAGGCCGAGTACCCATCAGGCCAATGAATAGGCCGAGTACCAATCAGGCCAATGAATAGGTCGAGTACCCCCCTCAGGCCGAGTACCCATCAGGCCAATGAATAGGCCGAGTACCCCCCTTAGGCCGAGTACCCATCAGGCCAATGAATAGGCCGAGTACCAATCAGGCCAATGAATAGGTCGAGTACCCCCCTCAGGCCGAGTACCCATCAGGCCAATGAATAGGCCGAGTACCCATCAGCCAATGAGTAGGCCGAGTACCCCCTCAGGCCGGGTACCCATCAATGAATAGGCCAAGTACCCCCCTTAGGCTGAGTACCCCCTTAGGCCGAGCACCCCCTCAAGCCAAGTACCCATCAGGCCAATGAATAGGCCGAACACCCCTTCGGCCAATGAACAGGCCGAACACCCCTTCGGCCAATGAACATGCCGAATACCCCCTCGGCCAATAAACATACTGAATGGGTATTCAGCTGTAATGAATTTCCATGAGAAAAAGGAAAGCAGGTATTAATTACATCATACACATCCACGTCAGCTGTAATCAGTGTGCAAAACCTCGTGCACTAGCCCAATAATCTAGAAAGCCCATCAGGCCCAAGAACATCACTATAAATACAGTATGGATGGGATTGATGGGACAGTATGAATATTTAATACAACAGCCTTTATTGCTATGTACCGAATACTTACTTGAGCGTCGGAGTGCCTTTGCAGGTACCCTCCCCACCATTCGGAGACAGAACTTAGCTTGTATTTGAAACTCAGAAGACTAATCAAAAAGGAAGAGAGGAGGAGTGTTCTTAGCAAGAACACAGATAAATAGGAAAAATTAGTTTGGAGTTCAACACCAAGCCAAAAAGTTCACTCTGCATTAACCCAAATATAAAATAAAATAAAATAAATAATATATATACCGTGGCCGATGCACATGTAACAATGGCCTATGGGGGCAATTGTTCCCACGACTTTTTTCTTTTTACCTATATTATATTTAACAACAAAAAAAATTGTCCCGGTAAAAAAAATTGTGTTGCCCCACAACATAAAACCTTTTAAATAAAGATAAAAAATAATAATAAATTAAGTTATTTTATCCTACTAATTTCTTTCTATTCTTGTTACACACATTAAAATTTAATCGTTCACACAAACATACAAATACACTTCTTGTTTATCATGAAATTAAGTATTTTTATTAAAATTAATAATATTTTTCTTCTTTAAAAATATTAAATATTATATAGCAATGATAATATATATATATAGAGAGGGGGAATCCACTTATTTTATAAATTTTTAAAAATTTTGAAAATTATTTAATATTTTATTTCTTTAATTAAAATTGAGGGATAATATAAAAATATTTTATACATTTATTTAAACTAAGGGAACGGATTATCAAATGGTTTTCAATTTTTAAAAAAAAAATTATAAACCTGATTTATGCATAAATTTTTTTTAATTCAACGATTAGATTATTGAATTTTAATGTAAAACATGATTTATTAGATAAAGTAAGTCTAGATAAAGTTATTCTTAATTGAGAGATGAGGGTTTTACTTACTCTGAAAATAAGTCTTACTAGAATTATTTCAATAGTAGGTTTTGATAGACTTACTTTATTAATAATTTATGTTTTATATCAAATTTCAAGAATTCAACTCCATTTTAGCCAGATCGCCATCGACCACTAAAAACAGGGCAAGACATGTTGCATCAAATGATAAAAGCATGTTGAAAATCTTGTCCCACCTCACTTAGAAGTATGCTAGCGGGCCTTCTCGCTAAAAATATTATTTTTTATTTTACTATCAATTTAAATTGAAAACTTTAATTTTTTTTACATCAATTGACAAATTTAATCAAATGACTCGGTATAAATTTGTCATTCAACTTTAAGACTCCAACAGCAAAATAATAAATTACAAAATACTAAAAGTCTTTTTTTTTTTCTCAATCAAGATTATTATTAATAGTCTCTAAATAATATAAAATAATAGTCTTTAAGAATTACAATACAAGTATTAATAGTCTTTCAATAATAACATTAAAAATCATAATACAAATTGACACACAAAATTAATTAAAAAAATTAATAAAATATTTAATTAAACAAGTTGGCAAATTAACTTGACTTGGCCTAACTGACTAGGCGAAACAAGCCTGTAGATTGGTAGACTTAAATGTCCAACTAACTATAAGTTGCGACTCATTTTGCCACTTTATAGTAGTTTATTGGCTAAAAACCTAATTTGGTCCCTTATAATCTTTTCCTTTAAGTGTTTGATCTTACAAATGATTTAAATACCTATATCCATGTTTAAGAAATATAAATCATGGGAGAAAGCTATTGTAAATAAGTTATGATGTGAATTAATTGTTAACGAATTTGGGTATTTTGGTGATAACGATGTCTAAGAACATAATGTGTGATATTCATGAGGCTTAGGCTTAGTGTTGGGTTTTGCTCTGATAGGACATGTGACATCGGGACGTAGTTAAGATTAAATTAGGACTTTGTTTTTGTTGTTTAATTTTGAAAGCATTAGTTCATTTTTTTTTAATTCTTGTAATTTTAGTTATTTCCCCCGTGTTTTAAACAAGTTAAAAATGTGATTTTGATGGAAACCTACTTCCTAAGGATCCCTTTGGAAGAGATAAGACTAAAAAGGGTAAAGGATGATAAAGTTGGTTTGAAGAATTGTAGTAAAAATACCCTTATTTTGAAGGGTACCTCACCATTGGAGGTTTATCTTACCTTCAAGGACTCTTATTATTGTTATACATTTTTCTTACTTGTAATTCATTTTAGTAATTATTGTATTAGGATATTTTTGGCCTTGTATTTTGGGTCAAGTAGTGTACATAATTTTGTCCTTGTATTACTTGAGGGTGTAATTAGTAGATTAGGTGAGGTGTAACTAGCAAAGTCTTATTAGACTTATTTGGGCGCTTGGATGACCCAAAGCTTTTTATGGCCCATAGGTTTAGATGTTCACTTGCTCATGCAAGTGGTTTGGGTGTCCAAACCATGCCAAGCTTGCCATTTAAGCTACAAATTAAGTCACATGATTTTCATAATGACATCTTAACAAACTTGTTAAAAATAATTAATGGGCTCCTTCCTTCCATGGTTTGTGCTTTGGCTTCCAAGGAGGAGCTCCCTCTTTCTCCACGGACTAGGAGGAAGGATGATGATTGGATGTTCCTCAAGGGTGGTGGAAAAACTATATTCAAGGGTGGAGGTCAAGGTGGGCGAAAATGGAGAAAGGAAGGTGGAAAGTGTTTATGGTGCTCTTGGCTAGCGCTCTCCACCAAGGAATGGTGGAGGCCACTCAAGGGAACTCAAACTCTCTTTAGGGTAGAGAGGAGATGAGGTTGGGCGTGAGGACCCTACGAGACTAAGGAAGGCTTTTGAGGCACAAAGGCTCACTCAAAATGCATACATTCCAAAGTGTGTACAAGGTGCATGGCCTAGAGTACTTATAGAGAGAGGAGAGCATCTAGGGTGTCTTGGGAGTCATTTGGCCAAAAATTTGAAGCCCAAATGCACCGAAATGTAGTTGTGAATAATGATGATTAATGACTTCACCCTTTAAGTGTTTGATCTTACAAATGGTTTCAGATACCTATATCCATGTTTAAGAAATATAAATCATGGCAGAAAACTATTGTAAATAAGTTATGATGTGAAGTAATTGTTAACGACTTTGGGTATTTTGGTGATAACGATGTCTAAGAACATAATGTGTGATATTCATGAGGCTTAGGCTTGGTGTTGGGTTTTGCTCTAATAGGACATGTGACATTAGGACGTAGTTAGGATCAGATTAGGACTTTGTTTTTGTTGTTTAATTTTGAAAGCATTAGTTCATTTTTTTAATTCTTGTAATTTTAGTTATTTCCCCCGTGTTTTAAACAAGTTAAAAATGTGATTTTGATGGAAACCTACTTCCTAAGGATCCCTTTGGAAGAGATAAGACTAAAAAGGGTAAAGGATGATAAAGTTGGTTTGAAGAATTGTAGTAAAAATACCCTTATAGCCTAGTTTATTCGAATAACATTATTTAAAGCACTACCACCCTTTTTTTCCATTGTGTTTTTGAAATTGGTAGGAGGAAGAAAATATCTTGTCAAAGTTAAAAGCATACTTCCATAAAATTTTCCTCGGATTAATAGTACTAATATTTTAGGATGTGACATGCACAAACAAATTTATTATATATAATTAGAATTTATAATAATTTATATATATAAATAGATATTATGTTTGAATATATATAAATTATATTTATAATTAGTATAATATTTTAATATTAATATTAATATTTTAAAATAAATTATCAATAACTAAAAATAAATATTTTTATTAAAATATAAGTTATTTATCATAAATTTAAAATATAATTTATATATTTAAAAATATTCATGTACGCTAACTTTAAATATAATTTATTTATTTAAACATAAACAAGTACTTTAC